GGCCATCTTCTACTGCTTTCCCAGGCCACGGCAGAGAGCTGGGTCAGAAGTGGAGCAGCGGGTCTCAAACCGGTTGGTGCCCTTATGGGATGCCAGCACTGCAAGTGGCGGCTTTACTCGCTGGGCCGTGGCTGACCTTTGCAGAGGGACCATGGGGGCGGGGCACGCCTTGGTCTGGGGGAGGAAGGCAGAGGCCCAGCGGCCTGGGCGAGCCCCTGAGCTGCCCAAAGCAGCAGCCTTTCCTCTTCCTCGCGGTGTCCTTCAGGACGTAGGCTGTCCCCACGAGCTCCCCAAGGAGGGTTACATGTGGTCACAGAGGGCTTTTTTTCCTCACAAGTGACGTAATCAGAGGCCGTCTGAATGAGCATAATACGTGTTGAATAAAAATGTGCCCTCACCATAATCGCCTCTGGTGAAGCCACCTTGACCTTCCTCTCCTAGCGGGCCTGCGTGTCCCCTGCACTGGGGGTCGCGCTCCTTGAGCACTGGAATCAGAGGAGTCCCAGGCATCCCTGGGTTCCGGGAGTGTCTTTCCCCTCCCAGCCTCCTGGGGCCCTGCGGCTCCCTGCACAAAGCCCAGCCCAGCCGCAGGGTGGGACCAGTAGGGCAGCACTTCGGAAACACGCCCTGGGGAAAGGCAGTGCGGCCCACAGCCCACCCCACGCGGGTCTCTGCACTCTGCAGCGCCCGGCCCAGCCCGGCCCGGCCCGGCGCCCCGCTGCTTCTCAGCAGCAAAGCCAGTGCCATAGGCTGAAACTCGCGCTTCCTCTCCTGCCTGGGTTGAGACAAATCCTCCTGCTGCGTCTCACCCCGCCTTGTTCCGCTGACTGCTGCATAGACTGTATAGAAGGACACTCACTTGTCTTTCTCAGGTTCTGCAGCTTCAGAAACTTTGTGTGGTGCTTAAGGTGGTATGTCTCGCTCTTGTTAGTTTTCTGCGTAAATACCCCTAGCCACACTGTCTTGTGTCGCTGGCTGGGGATAGGTAATGACGGTGAAACTCGTAAATCCCTCTGGCCTGCTGGGAAAAGCCAGCTGGGGACTCCTTGTGAAATTGTTGGTGCCTACCGGGGCACGGTCCCCCAGAAGCAGCCGCTGCCAGCTGTGTGCTCACGTTGCGTGGGTGCCACGAAAGGGTTACAGTCAGCCACATTTCAGCTTTTTAGGTGGCAGCGGGGAGTGGGGCATAAAAAGGGGAAAAAATGGCTTTCCACCTTGTCTTACAAATCCAGTGTGCACTGCTCAGCGTGTTTGAGGACTGCTGGTTGTTTATCTCTGAGTCACTGCTGGGTGGGGTGTGTTTGTTTTCTGTTTTCTTTCTTGTGAAACTCTTGTGGGGTTGGATCATCCTTGCCCAGCAACGATGCTAGTGCCTTTTTTTGTGATTGTTGCTCAAGGGAGCGCTACCTTGGGATATTTTTTGAGGCATTTTTTGAAAATTTTTCCCCATTGGTTTGATGTACCAAAATTTACTTTTTTTTTTAAGGTTTATTTGAAAGGTAGAATTACAGAGAGACAGAAGCAGGGGCAGGGAGGAAAAAGTCTTCCATTTTTTTATTTCCTCTCCAAATGGCCACAGTGGCCAAGGCTGGGCCAGGCCGAAGCCAGGAGCCTCCTCTGGGTCTCCCACATGAGTGGCAGGGGCCCAAGCACTTGGACCATCTTCCACTGCTTTCCCAGGCCACAGCAGAGAGCTGTGCTGATCCGAAGCCAGGAGCTTCTTCCGGGTCTCCCACGTGGGTGCAGGGGCCCAAGCCCTCGGATCTTCTGCTGCTTTCCCAGGCGTGTTAGCAGGGAGCCGGGTCAGAAGCCAAACAGCTGGGATTCACCCCAGCACTGCATTGTGGGAGGCCTGTGTCGCAGGTGGCAGCTTGACGCAGCGCCAGCCCCTGTGCAGAGGTTTCAGGTCCTGAAAGATTGGTGCTGGGGGTGGAGTCGGTGGCCAGGTGAGTCCCGTTCTCCTGACTCTGGAGCTAGATACAGGTCAGCTCCGAGCGGCTCCTCGTGGCGCACAGTCAGGGAGGGAACCTTGAAGCAGCTCACCCTGGGCTCTCCTTTGTGCCAGGCGCTCCGGGGCCTGGGAGACTCAGGGAGGCAAAGCCGGGGCTGCCCTGCCCGGTGGCTGCTTTCCCCCGTCAAGGTCTTTAGGAAAGCTCCAGCTCCCTGAGCTCACGCAGGAGCAGTGTTGACCTGTGAGGTCGCGCCTAGCACAGATCTGCGTATTCGTATCTGGCACATAGGTTCAGCCCGTTGTCTCCTGAAGGTAGAGACAGGTGGGCAAGCCATTTCCCCGCGAGCCGGCCGTGGTGGTTTGGCACAGCACTAGCACTCTGGCCGCTGGTGTGTAGGTACAGGTATGGGGAGGTAGGAGGCAGGCTGGTGCCTCACCCAGCAGCGGGGCCTCTAGGAGGTGGTGGCACTTGAGCCACACCCAGCTAAGGTTTAACTGGCAAACAAAGCAGAAGGGCATTCCAGACAGAAGTCTCCAGACACCCAGGCTCTGCTGAATCTGCTGCTGGGAGGGCAGAGGCCCTGCACAGGTTAAATGGATTTTTTTAAGGAGCCAGTTTTCTAAAATTCTGACGAGGCTCCGGAATCTGAGCAGGCCTTTGACTCGGTGGCATGGTTGGCCGGAGAGCTTGGCCCCGTGCCCTGTTGTAAGGAATTCAGTGGGAGCAGAGAATGGTTCCCACCCAGGCCCCCTGCCTGGGATCTAAGCACACTCCCTGGAAGCCCACCCACTGGCTTTGCAGTTGCTGCCAATTCCGCTTGCAAAGGGAAACAGGCTCATTCCTCTGTGTACTTGGAGGGGCGGGCAGATCCCTTGGTGTGTGCTGTTGCTATGATAGGAGAGCCACAGTCTGTTTAATGCTTTGAAGAATAAAACTTCAGAGGTGAGGCGTGCATACTGCAGGGAGACTTGATGCCAATCCTAATTGCAAGGGTTTCTAATAGCAAAAAAATCCAATTAAAAGTACTGTCAGGGGCCAGCGCTGTGGCATCGCGGGTAAAGCCACCGCCTGCAGTGCAGGCATCCCATATGGGTGCTGGTTTGAGTCCTGGCCGTGCCACTTCCAATCTGACTCTCTGCTGTGGCCTGGGAAAGCAGTAGAAGATGGCCCAAGTCCATGGGCCCCTACACCCATGTGGGAGACCTAGAAGAAGCTCCTGGCTCGTTGCTTCAGGTCGGCACAGCTTCCAGCCATTGCGGCCATCTGGGGAGTGAACTAGTGGATGGAAGACACTGTCTGTCTCTATTTCTTCCCCCCCCCCCCCCCCCGTAACTCTGTCTTTCAAATAAATGCATAAATCTTAAAAAGTGCTGTCACCCACACATTGTTATATAAATTCTTTGATTGGACATAATGGCCTCAGTTCCAGAATTCAGCATCTTCCGAGTTTTTTCCATGTTCAGAGGCAGCGTGGTGAACGTGATACCTCATCATCCATGTCATTCCACATCCAAACAGCTCTACAGGGACACTGCTTGGGACACCTGCATCCCATATTGCAGTGCTTGGGGTCCAGCCCTCGCTGTGCTCTGATTCCAGCTTCCTGCTAATGCACACACATCCTTGGAGACAGCGGGTGATGGCTCAAGTACTTGGATTCCTGCCACCTGTGTGGGAGACTCGGCTGAAGCTCCTGGCTCCTGGCTTTGGCCTGCCCCAGCCCCAGCTGTTGCAGGCATTTGGAAAGTGAACCAGTGGATGATATGTCCCCCTCCTCTGTGTCTCTCTCTCTCTGTCTCGGTCTCTCTGTGGTTGTTGTGGCCATTGGAAAATGAATCAGTGGATAGAAAATCAAGTTCTTTCATGCATATGCACACACTCTCTCTCTGTAACTCTGACTTTCAGAATAAATAAATCAATCTTAAAAAAAGAAAGATCTGGGGCCGGTGCAGTGCTGGCATCCCGTATGGGTGCCGGTTTGAGTCTTGGCTTTGCCACTTCCAATCCGGCTCTCTGCTATCACTTGAAAAAGCAGTGGAAGATGGTCCAAGTCTTTGGGAGACCCAGAAGAGGGTCCTGGTTGCGGATCGGCTGTTGCAACCATTTGGGATGTGAACCAGCAGGTGGAAAACTTCTTTCTCTCTCTGTCTCTGCTGCTCTCTGTAACTCTTTCAAATAAATAAATAAATCTTAAAAATAGAAAAGATCTTTAGCAGGGGTTTGAGTTGTGTCACATCAGTTTAAACACTTGGGACACTGTATACCATAAAGGAGTGTTGGTTCAAGTCCTGGCTGCTCTGTTTCCCATTCAGCTCCCTGCTAACGCACCTGGGAAAGTAGCAGAAGATGGCCTGAGTACTTGGGCCCCTGCCACCCAGGTGGTGGACCAGGATGGAGCTCCTGGCTCTTGGCTTAGGGTGGCCCAGACCTGGCTGTTGTGGCCATCTGGGGAGTGAACCAGTGGATGTGAGATCTCTTTGTTCTCGCCCTCTCTGTTGCTCCGCCTTTCAAATACAACAGATTTCTTTCTTTCTTTGTTTTTAAAGAGGTTTCACAGAAGCTAGTTTGGACTTCTCCATTTCTTCTGTGGCTTTAACGTTGCATTCAGCAGTGAATGGATTAAGTAGAACCAGCAGTGTCCTCTGTCCCAGATCAGTGGCTTCCCAGGGGTGTTGCCCAGACGGCAGTACCAGCGTTACTGAGGACTTGTTAGGAGTGAGAACTCCGCTCAGCTCCGGCCCACACCCAGCACAGCTGAACTGATAGCTGGTTTTCCAAATGTGGATAGTTACTCTACCTGATTGCATCAGGGTGATTATCAGGTGGGATTTTTCCTTCTTGGTCCTGTTAAACTGTGGCATTGTTTATGTGTTTATAAAAATACTGCTTTGGCTGTTACTGCTACTAATAAAAAGGTAGTCAGTGCAGGTTAACAGTATTTAATCAGCCAGGCAAATTCTGGATATTTTATAGATGATAATTTAAACTTCTTTCCCCTTTAAATTACGGTGGGATAAAGAGTAACTGTCTCTGGGGCCTGTTTTTTAGGTTAAAAACGTGTCTGCAGGCACACAAGACATGCCTCCACCACCCTCCGACTTCGTGGAGAGAGTGGACAGTTCCGTGGCCTACTCGTCCAATGGCAAAGTGAATGGCAAGAGGCCGTATCCAGAGTCCTACAAGTCCACGCCGCCGTAAGTAGCCACTCCCACAGCATGGGAGGAGGATCCTAGAAACGAACGTGTTTAAGACCAACTATTGATCTGTGCCACGTTCTTTGAAAAGTACCAGCCAGTAGTGCATGCATAAGCTGGAGATCGACTTCTGTGCTACAGTGTTTGCACTTCGCTTAAAGAGACTGGGGCTGCCTGGAAGGCCAGCATGGGTCAGGTTTTGTTTATTTGTAAGACAGAGTGACAGATACGGGGTGGTGGTGGTGGGGAGATTGATTGAGATCTTCCATTTGTTGATTCACTCCCCAAAATCCTGCAACAGCCAGGGCTAGGCCAGGCTGAAGCCAGGAGCCCGGAACTCCATCTGGGTCTCTCACACAGATGGCACAAACCCAAGTCCTGGAGCCATCGCCCACTGCCTCCCATGTGTAGGAAGCTCAGAGCAGCCGGGACCAGAACCGGCGCCCATGTGGGATGCCGGCATTTCAGGCCAGGGCTTTAACCCACTGCACCACAGTGGGTTACTTTAGAATTTTAAGAAAATCTGCTAATTAGAATTAATCCTGCATCAAGGGACAACAGAATTTAACTGGAAATTGTTACCGTTCCACCCTTACTAGGTGAATTTGGAAGAGCCTATAGGTACTCTCCTAACTATGCTGTCCACATCCTGGGCAAATTAACCATATAAATCAAGGAAGTGGCCACAGCTTTCAAGGCAGGCTGACTCCTTATGGTGCCAAATGACACCATTACTTGGTAGTAATAGGCTGTTAAAATGAGCTGTTAGGATTTGTATGCAAGTTAGAGGGATTATAAACTAGGTCAGGTGAAAAGAGGAATTCACAGGTTCACTGATCCGAAGGCAGGAGCCAGGTGCTTCTCCTGGTCTCCCATGGGGTGCAGGGCCCAAGCACTTGGGCCATCCTCCACTGCACTCCTTGGCCACAGCAGAGAGCTGGCCTGGAAGAGGAGCAACAAGGACAGAATCTGGCACCCTGACCGGGACTAGAACCCGGGGTGCCGGCGCCGCAGGTGGAGGATTAGCCTATTGAGCCGCAGTGCCGGCCAAGTTACTCTATTTCTGATTCAGTTCCCTGCTAATGCAGCTGGGAAAGCAGCAGAGGGTAGCCCAAGTGCTTGGGCTTCTGTGCCAACATGGGAGACCCGGCTGAGGCTTTTGGCTCCTGGCTTCAGCCTGGCCCAGCCCTGGCTCTTGCGGCCACTTGGGGAGTGAATCAGCGAATGGAAGATCTCTCTGTCTCTCCCTCTCTCTCTGTAATTTTGACTTTCAAATAAAAAGGCAATAACAAATCAATAAATTTTTTTTAAAAAAGCTTCATATATCAAAATCTTTTTTTTTTTTTTTTTTTTTGCCCTTCATGGGTCATTGTCATCCCGGGGGCCAGGAGGATGGAGTTTTCCGAGAGGCAAAGCTTAGCCACATCTCCTAATAATGGTGGCAGCTCACGGCACCGGTGTTGATCGCCGGCCAGTGTTGTTGGTTTCTCTGCCTTCGCTGGGACTGTGTGTCATCAGAAAAGCAGGGTTCTCCTGAATGTGTTTTCATTTAGTAATGACCTTGAACACCTGCCAAAGTCAAATGCCCCTGGGGATACCAAGTCCACGTTCTCACAGAGGTTGCAAAACAGGGATGGACGAGAGTCCAGAGCAGCGATACCGAGAGTCAGGGAAAGATAGCAGGGCTGGGCGCGGCTGTGTGAGAAAGAAGCAGGTGACAAAGGATGAAGTCAGAAGCTGCCAAGGGGACCTCTTGACCTTGGAGTCCATGTGAGGTTGAGAATGACTGTCTGGGAGTGAAGAGGGGATGCCCCGGGTGGCGGGGTAGCTAGCACGGGATGTTTGTATTTTGATCTAATAGACTTGTCACTGAAAGTAAGTTTGTTTTCTTTAAATTTGTCTGAGGGGCAGGGAGAGAGACAGAGTGTGAGTGAACGGGAGCACTGGCACTCCCAGCTGCTGATTCACTCCCCGAACACCTGCAGCGGCCGGCCCTGGGCTGGGTTGAAGCTGGAGCCAGGCTCCCAGTCCACGTCCCCCACGCGGCTGGCGGGAACTCAGTTACTCGAGCCATCACTGCTGTGTCCCAGGGCACACGTTACCAGACGCTGGGGTTGGGAGCCAGCACGGGGCCCTGAAGCCGGATGGTCCCATGGAGGATGCCTGCTGCCCCCAGCAGTCAGCTGGAACCTCGCTGAGGCTAATCATGTTCCCTCTTAGTTTATAAATCCTTCTCTTGCTAAGTGTGTTGGTCTCAGTTTGCATGTTAGATCAAGTATGTTTCTGCTCAGTGGTTTAAAGGGTGCAGGAAGAAGGGAGATGGAAAACTTCAAGGCAAAGATTTGTAATATAAACATCTAATATGATGGGATTCTAGCACGAGGCCTGCTATGACTTTTTTTCTAATTTTGGTTGTGCTTTGCCTTCCTCCCTCGCTGGCCTCCACTCCTCAAAGAGACCCACTGCCTTGTGCAGGTTTTATTTTTCCACCTCAAAGCAAGATGCCTGGTTCCGAGCCCTTTTGGCAGAGTGAGAACTCGTTAATCATTGACTCATGGATAAAGTCACGTGTCCCTTACAGTAGGAATAACATTAACTGCACACAAGGACGTGCTCTCTGATTAATAATACTTGAAAAAGATTTATTTATTTACTTGAAAGGCAAAGCTACAGGGAGAGAGAGAGAGAGACAAAGATATTCCATCTGCTGGTTCACTCCCCAACTGGCTGCAACAGGTAGGCCTGGTCAGGTCAAAGCCAGAAGCCTAGAACTCCATCTGGGTCACTCACGTGGCTGACAGGAGGCCAAATCACTTGGGCCATCTTCCGCTGCGTTCCCAGGGAGCTAGATTGGATAGTGGAGCAGCCGGGATTTGAACTGGTGCCCATGTTGGATGCTGGCATCTCAGGCAGCGGCTTAACCTGCTGTGCCAGGCTGCTGACCCCGGCTGTTTTCAGTTTTGTGAAACTGTATTTCTGTTACTCAGGAGCAGTTTGTACTTGGCCACAGTTCTTGATTTTTTATTCCTGTGTCAGGCTTTGCTTGTAGCAGAAGCATAATTTGCAACTTAAAAATCTGGTACACTAGAAAAATAGTAAGTGCAAGGGTAACCCTTCTGTTCATTTTGCATGGCTTCTCAGGGATTAACATAGCGGTATCTCGTGTGTGTTGTCTTTGATTTGACAGGCAGAGTGGACAGTGAGAGAGAGAGAGACAGAGAGAAAGGTCTTCCTTTTGCCGTTGGTTCACCCTCCAATGGCCGCCATGGCTGGCGTGCTGCGGCCGGCGCACCGCGCTGATCCGATGGCAGGAGCCAGGTACCTATCCTGGTCTCCCATGGGGTGCAGGGCCCAAGCACCTGGGCCATTCTCCACTGCACTCCCTGGCCACAGCAGAGAGCTGGCCTGGAAGAAGGGCAACTGGGACAGAACCCGGCGCCCTGACTGGGACTAGAACCCGGTGTGCCGGCGCCGCTAGGCAGAGGATTAGCCTAGTGAGCCGCGGCGCCGGCCAACATAGCAATTTTTAAAAGAAACATTCATAACTCGTTCGTTCATTACAATGTAAGAGCTTTTTGGCATTTTCATTTCAATACTTAGTTTTTCAGAATCTTATCTTCAAAGGTGAATTGATGTGGGTAGTGTACAATTAATAGTATGAGGAGATAAGCTCCCACAGTCAGTGTTGGGTGGGACTGGAAGAACCTGTGGAGAAGAATCGCGATCCTTATCTTCCCGACAGCCTTTTGTGGAGGAGTCCCCGACCCGTCAGGTCAGCAGCTCCTGCAGATCAGCCTCAACTTCCTAAAATGGAATCTGGCATCCGTTCTTCTTGGAAGCTTTCATAGAAGCTCCTTTTAAATCGGAGCCCGATGGATCCATTCCTCAGGTGTCCTGGAGGATTCCGCACACAGGAAGCGAGGTGTCACCCCCTGGAGTGCACGCACCTGCCTGGAGCCGTCTCCTGGTGCCATCTGCAGCTGCAGGGCACTGGCAGGGGACATGGGGTGCCCCGAGCTCACTGAGCCAAGTCTCCCCTGCTTTTCTTAGGGTACCCGAGGTGGTTCATGAGCTTCCGCTGACGTCATCCATGGACGACTTCAGGCAGCCTCGTTTGAGCAGCAGCAGTAACTTTGAGACACCTTCCAAAAGGCCTCCCGCCAAGGGAAGAGCAGGCAGGCCCAGGAGATCAGAGCAAGACCACTACGAGACGGACTACACGACCGGCGGCGAGTCGTGCGACGAGCTGGAGGAGGACTGGATCAGGTACGGGGCGGCCGCCCCCGACGTGGCGTCCCCTGAAGCTGGGGGCCACGGCCCATTCCCTTCTTTTTTTTCTTTGCCCGCTGGAACTGGAGACTTTATTTCCCCCCAGATGTTTTATTGTTTTTCCCCTAGTGTGCTTTTGTAATAGATTGAAGTGGCGGGGATGTGTTTGGCTGTGCCCATGTCTTCAGTCTCAGCTGCTCCCCAAAAACAGCTCATGGACATCCCCGGCACTTCTGTCTTCACCACCGCTCACCCCAAGAAGCTCCTAAAACAGAGGAGCTTCGTTTTGCTGGGTATAAAATTCCCAGCTTCCCTCTGGCCATGACTTTTAAGTTAAGCTTTGGTGACAAGACCAGAGTTTCTTTTAAGATTTCATCTAAGGAACCCTAAGAAACATTTCTTTAAACAACTGAAGTAGCGGTTCCTTCACTTCCTCTCTGTCAGGGGTGTGCCACCATCAGTGCGCTCCGAGGCCGGCGACACAGCGCTGGAGGGAGATCAGAGGCTGTTTCTCAAGGCCGTGGGGAGGGTCGGGGGTGGGGGCTGTGGGGAGAGTTGGGGCTGGGGGCTGTGGGGAGGGTCGGGGGTGGGGGGCGTGGGGGACTTGAGATGCTGTGGGGGCTGATGCTTCTGGGCCCACATCTCTCCTTGCCCCCTGCCGTCTTGGGCAACTCAGCCATCAGGTCTAAAATATTTGCCCAGGTTGTATCCAGCAAATGTAACCGAAAAGTCTCCGGAATGTTGAGTTCTTGTTTCTCTCTTAATCAGATCATTTGCGTTCTCTCCCCTGTAAAGGGAGATACTGGACTGTTAGACCCAGCGTTAGAAAGGCACCGCTTCTGTGTGTGACTCACACAGTCACACACACACAGCAGGTGCGGTAGCAGGAGCAGCGTCCTCTGCACAGGAGGGGCCGCTCGGACGCGGTTTTCTCGTTCATGGAAAACTTAGGCAGCAGCCGTGAGTGGATTTCTCAGTATTTCCACACCAAGTAAACTTTGAAATTCCTTCGTCTCCTGAACCGCTGCAAGTCCTCTCAGAGGCTGATAGAAGTGAGAGAGTGTTTTCCTTTATGCGCCTGTGAATTACCAGATGCTTTTTACAGCAAGCACACGTTTTTATGAATGTACATTTTTAAGGTCTACTTTTTAAAAAAAAATTTTTTTTGACAGGCAGAGTTAGACCGTGAGAGAGTTATAGACCATGACAGAGAGACAGAGAGAAAGAAAGGTCTTCCTTCCGTTGGTTCACTCCCTAATGGCCGCCACGGCCAGCGCTGTGCCGATGCAAAGCCAGGAGCCAGGTGCTTCTCCTGGTCTCCCATGGGGTGCAGGGCCCAAGCACTTGGGCCATCCTCCACTGCACTCCCTGGCCACAGCAGAGAGCTGGCCTGGAAGAGGAGCAACCGGGACAGAATATGGCGCCCCGACCGGGACTAGAACCCGGTGTGTCAGCGCCGCAGGCGGAGGATTAGCCAAGTGAGCCATGGTGCCGGCCAAAATCTACTTTTATAATGAAAGGACCAAACAAACTTTTTCCAATTAGGAAAAACAACACCTAAAATTAAACAGCCTGAAAACGGCCTGTGATGGCGGGAAGCAGCCCTCGCGGGCGGCTGTGCTGCCAGGTGACGGTCCACACAGGCTTTGGGTTCCACAGTTCCAGCTCAGGGACTTGAAACCCAAGTATCCCATTAGCGTGTGGTATTGTGGACGGAGAATAAGAGTGCCTGTGTCTTTAGCCTTGAATCCTTTTTTTAAATTTTTTTTAATTTTTATTTATTTTTAATTTTTTGACAGGCAGAGTGGACAGTGAGAGAGAGGGACAGAGAGAAAGGTCTTCCTTTGCCGTTGGTTCACCCTCCAATGGCCGCCGCGGCTGGCGCACCGCGCTGATCTGAAGGCAGGAGCCAGGTGCTTCTCCTGGTCTCCCATGGGGTGCAGGGCCCAAGCACTTGGGCCATCCTCCACTGCCTTCGCGGGCCACAGCAGAGAGCTGGCCTGGAAGAGGGGCAACCGGGACAGAATCTGGTGCCCTGACCGGGACTAGAACCTGGTGTGCCGGCACCGCAAGGCAGAGGATTAACCTAGTGAGCCGTGGCGCCGGCCTACCTTGAATCCTAAAAATTATGTAGGGGTGAGCAGTAATACATAAAATGAGACTGTGAGTATAAATTAGTTGTATCCCACCTCCACCTCTCTGTTAGAACTGAAAGGAAAAGAAAAGAATGTCATTTCCCTCTGCCGCCAGCTTTCTTACCTTAGAGCAAGCAGTGCGGGGTCTTCGTCTGCCAGGGAGCTTCGTCTGTCTTTGCGTGTGGTCATTTCCCCTCTCGTCTCTTAGGGAGTATCCGCCCATCACATCAGATCAGCAAAGACAACTCTACAAGCGGAATTTTGACACTGGCCTGCAGGAATACAAGAGCTTGCAAGCAGAGCTCGACGAGGTCAATAAAGAGCTTTCCCGTCTCGATAAGGAACTGGATGACTACAGAGAAGAAAGTGAAGAGTACATGGTAAATTCAGGCTCCGCACTTGCCTGGTAGACGCGGTAGACTTTGTACTATTGCTCACACGTATTTGCTTGAAATATGGATTGAAATTGAGGCTTCGATGATAGTCTTTTTTTTTTTTTTAAGATTTATTTATTTATTTGAAAGTCAGAGTTACGCAGAGAGAGAGAGAAGAAGGGAGGGAGGGAGGAGAGAGAGGGAGAGGTGTCTTCCATCCTCTGGTTCACTCCCCAGCTGGCTGCCATGGCCAGAGCTGTGCTGATCCAAAGCCAGGAGCCAGGAGCTTCTTCCAGGTCTCCCACACAGGTGCAGGGACCCAAGGACCTGGGCCATGCTCTACTGCTTTCCCAGGACATAGCAGAGAGGTCGATCAGAAGAGGAGTAGCTGGGACTTGAACCAGCACCCATATGGGATCCCAATCCTGGCGACATAAGCCACGGGTTTACCAGCTACACCACAATGCCGACCCTGTTTTTCTTTTTCAGAAAAAAATATTTTGTGGCACTGCTTTTTTCCTGATCTTTCCCTCAGCAGTGGTTTATGGTAATCATTTCTTATCAAAATAAAGATTGACTTTCAAATCGTTTTACATGTAGGAGCAGGTGTTTGGCCTGGAGACGCTGCTAGGGACATGCACGTCCCTGTTCTTGGTTCCAGCCTCTAACACAGGCCCTGGGAGGTAGTGGTGATGGCTCAAGAGTTGGGTCCCAGCCACCCGTATGGGAGACCAGGATTGAGTTCCCAGACTGCCCTGACAGTTGTGGGCATTTGAAAAAGAAACCAGTGAATGGAGATCTCTCTCTTTCTGCCTGCCAAATAAATAAATAAGAATTTAAAAAAAATTTATATGTAAAAATAGCTATACTATTTTGATATTTTATGGTGTGCCATAGTTTACTTAAGTGTCATCCTCTATGAACAGATTTTTTTAAAGATTTATTTATTTGAAAGGCAGAGTTATGGAGACAGAGGGAGAGAGAAATCGAGATATCTTCCATCCACTGGTTCCCTCCCCATATGGCTACAATGGTCCAAGCTGGGCCTTCAAAACCCAGGAGCCAGGAACTTTAACTGGGTCTGTCATGTGGGTGCAAGGTCCCCGGGACTTGAGCCATCCTCCGCTGCTTTCCCAGGCACATTAGCAGGGAGCTGGATTGGAAGTGGAGCAGCCGGGACTTGAACTTGGATTCTTTTTTTAAAAAATATTTATTTATTTATTTGAAAGGCAGAGTTACAGAAAGGCTGAGGCGGAAGCAGAGAGAAGTCTTCCATCCACTGATTCACTCCCCAAATGGCTGCAACGGCAAGAGCTGAGCTGATCTGAAGCCAAGAGCCAGGAGCTTCTTCCAGGTCTCCCACGCAGGTGCAGGGGCCCAGGCACACTTGGGCCATCTTCCACTGCTTTCCCAGGCCATTAGCAGAGAGCTGGATCAGAAGTGGAGCAGTCAGGACTCTACCTGGCGCCCATATGGGATGCTGGCACTGCAGGCAGCAGCTTTACCCACTACGCTACAGCACCAGCCCCTCGAACTTGGATTCTAAGAGAGAATCTGACATGTGAGCAACTTAGCATGATCAATGCTACAGTCACATTACATGTGGAAACCCCTGTAACTAACTACCCAGAGAAGCAATAAAGTCTGCCGAAGGGGCCGGTGCTATGGCACAGTGGGTTAAAGCCCTGGCCTGAAGCACCGGCATCCCATATGGGCGTCAGTTCTAGTCCTGGCTGCTCCTCTTCTGATCCAGCTCTCTGCTACGGCCTGGGAAAACACTAGATGGCCCAAGTCCTTGGGCCCCTCCCACCGTGGGAGACCGGGAAGATGCTCCTGGCTTCTGGCTTCGGATCGGCACAGCTCCGGCTGTTGTGGCCATCCAGGAAGTGAACCAACGGATGGAAGACCTCTCTCTTTGTGTCTGTACCTCTCTCTGTAACTCTGTATTTCAAATAAATAAAATAAAATCTAAAAAAAAAATTGGGAATTAAAAAAAAAATAAATAAAGTCTGCCGAAGGCCTGCAGAGTTGAGGGGAGGGTTCAGTCAGACGTGGCTGTCAGGAGTTCTCTGGGGGCAGGTGTTTGGCACGGCAGTTACGGTGCTGCTTGGGAAGCCCACGTCCATATCAGAGTGCCTGGGCTTGAGTCCTGGCTCTGTTTTCCCTTCCAGCTTCCTGCCAGTGCCCACTCTGGGAGGCAGCAGGTGCTGGCCCAAGTAGGTGGGTCTCTATCCCTCCATGAGAGCTCTGGATTGAATTCCTGGGCCCTGGCTTAGGCCTGATGCAGCCCCAGCCATCGCAGGCCTTTTGGGGAGTGAACTAGCAGACAGAAAGAGTTGTCTCTGTCTGATGTTTCTTGTCTTTGAAATAAATAAATAAAAATTAAAATAAAAAGAATTACTCAAGCTGAAAGCTGGGAGAAGATGCAGAATTTCGGCTAAAAAGAAAACTGGGTAGAAATCGTGACCCCTTGCTTCGCCTGGTTTTCTAAGGGAACGACTAGTGGTGGGCACTGAGCCCAGGCAGGGAGGAAGCTGGGTGAGCACAGAAGTTAGTGGGGTGCCCAGGCCAGTTTCCTCATGAGCTGAAACTGAAGCAGAGCTGTGCCTGACAGAAGACCACTGTGGTAGGGGTTGGCACTGTGGCAGAGCAGGTAAAGCTGCGTTCTGCAGTGCTGTCATCCCATGTGGGTGCCAGTTTGAGTCCCGGCTGCTCCACTTCTGATCCAGCTCTCTGCTATAGGCTAGGAAAGCAGTAGAAGATGGCCCAAGTGCCTGGTTCCCTGCAGTTGCTTGGGAGACCTGGAAGAAGCTCCTGGGTCCTGGCTCCAGATTGGCACAGCTCTGGCCATTGCGACCATCTGGGGAGTGATCCAGCAGATGGAAGTCTGTCTGTCTGTCTGTCTCTCTCTCTCTGCCTCTCTGTAACTCTGCCTTTCAAATAAAATAAGTAAATTTTTTTTAAAAAAAAGGACTTCATGATTTTTTATAAAGATTTATTTATTTATATGAAAGGTTACAGAGAAGCAAAGTCAGAAAGAAAAAAGTCTGCCAGCGCCGCGGCTCACTAGGCTAATCCTATGCCTTGCGGCGCCGGCACACCGGGTTCTAGTCCCGGTTGGGGCGCCGGATTCTGTCCAGGTTGTCCCTCTTCCGGGCCAGCTCTCTGCTGTGGCCAGGGAGTGCAGTGGAGGATGGCCCAAGTGCTTGGGCCCTGCACCCCATGGGAGACCAGGAGAAGCACCTGGCTCCTGCCATCGGATCAGCACAGTGTGTCGGCCGCAGCGGCCATTGGAGGGTGAAGCAACGGCAAAGGAAGACCTTTCTCTCTGTCTCTCTCTCTCACTGTCCACTCTGCCTGTCAAAAAAATAAAAATAAATTTAAAAAAAAAGAAAGAAAAAAGTCTTCCGTGCGTTGGTTCACTCCCCAAATGGCTGCCAGAGCGGGAGCTGGGCCGTTCTGAAGCCAGGAGCCAGGAGCTTCTTCCGGTCTCCCACGCGGGTGCAGGGCCCGAGCACTTGGGCCATCTTCTACTGCCTTCCCAGGCCACAGCAGAGAGCTGGCCTGGCAGTGGAGCAGCCGGGACTCGACCCTGCCCCCACGTGGGATGCTGGGGCTGCCGGCAGGGCTTTACCTGCTGTGTCACAGCACTGGCTTCGTGATTTTCATTCTCTTTGTTTTTGCCACAAACTCCATTTTTAGCTCTAAAAGATAACTCCCGGAATGTGATTCTTGAAGGAGAAAATGCCTTACTGAATGTGTTCGTTTGTGTTTCTCGTTAATAGGCGGCTGCTGATGAGTACAACCGACTGAAGCAGGTGAAAGGGGTAAGTGCCCTGGGGGTGGAGATTCTGAGGGGCACCTGGCGGGGCTGTTCCCAGTGGCCTTTGACAGGACTGGGAAGGACTTATCCTGCATGCCCCAGTGGCAGACAAAGGCCCTGTACACTGAGACAAAGTTGCAAACTCGACCTCAGTTCTCTGCAGCTTTTGCAGCCAATACTGATTTCTTTGACACTTCTTCAGAAAGCCTAAGTGTCCACATAGAGAAGTGTGCAAACCCAGGTAAAATGCCCAGCTTGATAAGTGTGCGTGAAGGGACCGTGCACGGTGTTCCCAGCACCCACATGAGGAATTGCGTCTCCCAGGGCCTCTGGCAGCTTCCCACCTGCGGCTCCCTCCCCGCCCTCACACACTCCCCAGAGGGTAGCCGCCACCCTGAATTCTGACATCACAGGCTAGTCTTGCCTGTCTTGAACTTGGTTTTAGTGGAGTCATGCAGTGTGTATTTTGTTTGTGGTTTCTTTCGCTGAGTTTTGTGTTTGTAAGATCCATGCATGTTTTGGCATGCAGTTGTGGTTCATTTACTGCTGTATATTGAGGAATAAGACACAACACATTCATCCATTCTATGAGCAACTAAAATTAGGTTGTTGCCAAAATTTGCTTTTTTTTTTTTTAAAGATTTATTTATTTATTTGAAAGAGCTACAGAGAGAGGGCTAGACAGAGATCCTCTGTCTGTTGGTTTACTTCCCAAATGGCCACCGTGGCTGGAGCTGGGCTGGTCCAGAGACAGGAGCCAGGAGCTTCTTCCAGGTCTCCCACATGGGTGCAGGGGCCCAAGGACTTGGCCATCTTGTACTGCTTTCCCAGGCACATTTAGCAGGGAGCTGGATTGGAAATGGAGCAGTCAGGACTTGAACTGGTACCCATATAGGATGCTGGCATTAAAGGTGGCAGCTTGACCTGCCAAGCCGCAGCTCTGGCCCCCAAATTTTGGCTTTTACAGTTAAAGCAGCTTCAGACAGTACATTTAAATTTGTAAATGTACACACAATTGTTAGGTATGCAAGGGTACTTTCAAAAGGTTTGTAGAAGATGGAGTTAAAAGGTTAACTGTGCTTTGATGCCAAAATTTTTGAAATCAGGGCATCTAATTGACCAACAGAAAGTTCACAGAAAATGTGTATTATGAAAAAACTGTACATGGATTTCAAAATTTTGCGGCACCAAATCAAACTTATCTGTTATCCCATTTTTCCACCAACTTCTTGAAGTCTCAGTGTGTATGTGAGAGTAGAATTGCAGAGCCATCGTGTGTGTGTGTGTGTGTGTGTGTGTGTAGCTTTAATGGATTCTGGCAAACCGCGTTCCAGGGGGTGGTGCCAGCTGACAGCCCCAGCGAGCAGTGCCTGCTCTCACTGCTCCGTGTCTTTGCTGACACCTGGCACTGTCAGTCATTATTGGCTTTGCACATTTTTTTGCTTTCACAGATTTTACTTTGACATTTTTGTGATTGCAGAGCACTGCTTAAGTGAAAGTTGTAAACGAGCGCATCGTACAAGTGCCTGTCTCATCCCCCAGTCTCGTGACTTTCCTTCCCCCAGTGTATGGATACCACCAAACCCTTGTTTTACTGATTTTTTTTTTAATTTAATATGCTGTGTTAGGGAAAAACCTGCTGAATTTTCTGGTCGTTTTACACATTTTGAAAAATGAGTGTATGTGCTTTGTCAAGCTCGGGCTAAAAGATGACGTTGACACCCAGAGCCCACTGGCCGCGTGGCTGTAGATGCTGCCGGGCGTCTCGTAGCTGACATCTCCAGTGCCAGCAGTTCTCGATGCCGCCTTTCCGGCTCACCTCTGCCATCCTGGCAGACCCGTGTCTATCCCACTGGACTTCCATGACTCATTTTCTCTCCTTTTCAGTCTGCAGATTACAAAAATAAGAGGAATTATTGCAAGCAGCTGAAGAGCAAATTGTCGCACATCAAGAAGATGGTCGGAGACTATGACGGGCGGAGGTCCTAGGACAGCACGCGGTGCCGTCCGTGCCCCAGGAACTGAGCAGGGGGCTGACGTCTCCGCGTGTGTTCAGAAGGTGGATGACTTCGGACTCTGAGCTGGGAAGCCAACCTCTGTGACCATTAGAAAGCTTCGGTAGCTTTAACATCAGCAGCTCGATATCGTCCGTGTTGGAGCGTTTTACAAATAGCGTTTGATGATCAACTGGGCTGAGCACTCCAGTTAAGGATTTCCGGGTTTAAACACTGGGTCTTGGATTTAGAACAAAACGCTTTCTGAGGTTTTCACACCTTGATGGCAGGCCTGGGGGTCACCTGTGCTGTGACCTTTCACGCCCAGTGCTGTGTGAATCCCTACGCGCTCTTTGTTCCACGGTCTCACTTCCCCTAGCTGTCATCTACAGTCGTCTCTTCAGTTAAGGAGCCTGGGTCCCTGCGAGGAAGAACCACCCAGTTGTGGTTCAGTCTGTTTTATGACTCCATCACTAAGGAGGTCCCTGGCCTTCCGTGTTTCAGCTACTATGTGTATTGTGTTCTGCCAGCCTCCTTGTTGAATTTCTGGTTATGTCATGGTTGAAAGAGGTTTTTCTTTGTGTTATCCTGATAATAAAGATCATGTAAAAGTAACAAGTGTGTGAAATTTAAAGATTGTAAATATATACTGACTTTTTTTTAAATCAAAGTTTAAACTTAGTGGTTAGAATTTTGTGCATTTTTAAATGCTTTTATCTTACTGTTTACATGCATTTTTTGATAACCAGCTATACTTTTTTCATTATATTTCAGAGTATCTGATTACTTTTATAATTCAGTTGTGACTTGAATTGTATCTTATAGGACTGTTCAAGTTCTGTACCTATTTTATAAGATATTAAGCCCAGTGTCTTCCTTCTGTAGGGTATGCCTTTGACATCATTAGTGCTATTATGAAGCTAAGGAAAACTAAACTCAGGAGTTGTATCTGTTGTGAACTATTCTGGGTGCTGTGCCTCTTAATTCCTTGGCAGTACAGAGGCTGGCACATCAGGGAACAGCGTGCTGTACCACCAAACACCAAAGTATTTCAAATGGTGCCCTTAATTCTCGTCACTTGAAAAAAATCAGAATTCTATCCATAAAGTAGAATAAGCTGTTAGTATTGTGCTAACCAAATACTCTGCCAACCAAACGATGGTGTTCCTCATCCCAGTGCAGGCCGTTTTCTGAAAATCTTTGTAATCTTTGTAATCTTTGATCGTTAGTATGCAGTTCAGACCTTTAAGTATATAATTTTCGATGGACAGTTCTGAATTCCTTTCCAGAGATAAACTTCAATGTTTCCATTCTTTTTTTTTTTTTTTGACAGGCAGAGTGGACAGTGAGAGAGAGAGAGACAGAGAGAAAGGGCTTCCTTTTTGCCGTTGGTTCACCTTCCAATGGCCGCCGCGGCCGGCGCACCATGCTGATCCGATGGCAGGAGCCAGGTGCTCCTCCTGGTCTTCCATGGGGTGCAGGGCCCAAGCACTTGGGCCATCCTCCACTGCACTCCCGGGCCACAGCAGAGAGCTGGCCTGGAAGAGGGGCAACCGGGACAGAATCCGGTGCCCCGACCGGGACTAGAACCCGGTGTGCCAGCGCCGCAAGGCAGAGGATTAGCCTAGTGAGCCGCGGCGCCGCAATGTTTCCATTCTTAACACGGATTCACTTCTTCAGATTGAAACTCTTGATTTTCTGTGTGCTGCGCATACTTAGTGCAGGTGGTATCTCTAGGCTTTTTGGGTTCACGTCAGACGGAAAGGACTCTTGAGCACGTACCTGGTTTTTGTGCATGTGAAGTTTTTAACTCTTTGTCCTTGGAAAGGCAGGTACTTAGTTTATGAAGGCAAGCTTGCTAATGTTCTCGCGAAACAGAACATGTTCCCTGGAATGCAGAAAATGAAGTGACATGGGTTGTGAAATTTTGTAAAGTTGTAGAATTGTTCCATAAATTGGACTTTGAAATTAAAAAAAAAAAAATCTTCAAATCTGGTATTTAATGCTAAAGACCGCAAGAGGAAAGCAAATCGGAGAGTTTCCTAGTTGGTGTTGACATCACCCAGCTCATGTAGCTTTGAGAAGCCTCGGGGGCGGTTTCCTAGTCTGAGGTTTAGCAGATTTCAGAGGCGTGTTTCATTCCTTACCTCTGTGCTTCTCCTTTCTGCATTCTGCTTCCCACTAGGAACCCTTGTTCAAAGGAGTTTGTTGTAAATGTGTGTGGTCCATGTTATAGGGATCCCTATGTATGCCCCACTTACGCAAGGTGGAATCAATATTTTAATTATTATTTTTGAGAGATTTAAAGGAATACAGAGGGTCCGGCGCTGTGGAATAGTAGCTTAACCCACTGCTAGGATTACCCACATCCCAAATCCGAGTGCCTGGGATTGAGTCCTGCCTCCCCTTCCCATGCAGCTGCTTACTAACATGCACCTTGGGAAGTCATCACAAGTATGCGGGTCCCGGCTGTCCGCCTTGGAGAGCCGACTGGAGCTCCTGGCTCCTGGCTTTGGCCTGGCCCACTCCCAGCTGTTGCAGGCACTTGGGGAGTGAACCAGCAGATACACCCTCTCTCTCTCCCACTCTGCCTTTCAAATAAAAACTTTTTGAAAACTTTTCAAAACAAAAACATTTAAAAATATATAAAAAACTGGGGCTGGCATTGTGGCATAGTGAGTTAAGCCATCTGTGATGCCAGCATCCCTTAGGGGCACTGGTTCAAGTCCTGGCTGCTCTACTTCTGACCCAGCTCCCTGCTAATTCGCCTGAGAAAAGCAGCGGAAGGTGGCCCACGTACTTGGGTTCCTGCCACCACGGGGGCGACCCTGATAAAGCTCTTGGCTCAGCCTGGGCCATTGCAGCCATTTGGGGAGTGAACCAGCAGATAGAAGATTTCTCTCTCTCTTTCCTTCTCTCTCTCTGATTTTAAAATAAATAAATCTTTAAAAATACAAAAACATTATGAATCTACATGTCCCTATCACCCAGGAATAGCAGGTATTAATGTTTTGTCCTATGTGCTTTGTAATTTTTTTGAAATAGTCAAGTCTTTTAGTATTTATAGTGAATAATGGTTAATATTATGCATCTACATACATCCATAAAAGCTCATTTAATCCTCACAATAATTTGTTGCCACATAACCATTTCTTTCTTTACTGATGAAGAAATACAATTTGATAGATGAACTGGCCCGTTGTCACAGTCTAGCGAGTGGCACAGGGAAAGAATGGAATCTTGGTCTGTTGGACTGTGGGTTCTGTACCTCCATCCTAGGTTGACTTTGTGAATTAATGGGTTGGATAATGTGGGATTCCTCTGTCTGATGTTAATAAAGTGTCCTGTTTTAATTCTGAGTGCATGTGAAGTACTTTAGTGAACTAGGTGCTTCCTGTGAATTTCAAGAGCATCTGTAAAGACCTGAATGGGTAGGGGTCAGTGCTTTCATCACGGCTCCGGGGCCCTTGGCTGCAGCTGGGTGAAGGGACCTCCCCACACAGCCAGGGTCCTGCTTCCGCATCAGCGTGCAGCGTCTTCCTTCTGTACTTCTTCAAGGGTTCAGCTGGGGGAGCTGGAAGTCATCCCAGTCCCCTGGAAGCTTGTGATTCTGCTACCCGACCCCGCACCACCTCCTGTGAAAGGACAAACTCGCGACCGGCTCCATCATTCCCTGGGTGTTGGGCTTTGTTGACGTTTCTTCTGATGGGAAGAAACGAGTACAAACGCCGAAATAATTTGGAGACATTTTCAGAGAGATTGTGTTCATAAATGGTAGTAAATTACAATACTAATGCCACTTTGGATATAGATCCTGGATACAGTTAACCAAGGGGTGGGTGTGTGTGCACGCGTGCGCATAGCAAAATATGGAAGAATGTCCTCCCAAAATTTGCCGCTGTTGCCATGGAGCTATTTGTTGTCTCTGTGTTGGCCCACTTGTGCTTTGCCTCTCAGCGGTGGTTTGATGTGGTGGCATGGACCAGTGACTTGGCCTGCCTGTTTGGCAGTTTTCCACATCTGTAAGACATTGTAATAATCTCCCAGGCAAAAGGAGTTCATGTGTGGCTTAGCAAAGTCCTTATCTGAAAATGTATCCAATGGCTAGTTATTCCAATCTGTAGCCAGTAGGTGAAACATTTTAATAGTTTTTAAGAAGCAAATTATATTTAAAAGTGTAGGAGCTGCGACCAGCGCTGTGGCGTAGCAGGTAAAGCCTCTGCCTTCAGCACCGTCATCCCATATGGGCACTGGTTCAAGACCTGGCTGCTCCACTTCTGATCCAGCCCTCTGCTCTGGCCTGGGAAAGCAGTAGAAGATGGCCCAAGTCCTTGGGCTCCTGCATCCACATGGGAGACCCGGAAGAAGCTCCTGGCTCCTGGCTTCGGATCAGCGTAGCTCCGGCTGTTGTGGTCATCTGGGGAGTGAACCAGCAGATGGAAGACCTTTCTCTGTCTCTCCTCTCTCTGTGTAACCATGACTTTCAAGTAAAATAAAATCTTTAAAAAAAAAAAGTGTAGGAGTCAGCTAGTCCTTGGGCTGTGCTGTCAGGTTAGGGTGTAAATTCTTTTTATTTTTTTAAGATTTATTTTATTTATTTGAAAGACAGATTAACATAGCGAGGTAGAGCCAGAAAGAGAGAGGCCTTCCATCCGCTGGTTCACTCCCCAAATGACCGCAACGGCCGGAGCTGAGCTGATTGGAAGCCAGGAGCTTCCTCCAGGGCTCCCACGTGGGTGCAGGGGCCTGAGGATTTGGGCCAACTTCTGCTTTCCCAGGCCAGAGCAGAGAGCTGGATCAGAAGTGGAGCAGCTGGGACTCAAACCAGCACCCATATGGGATGCTGGCGCTGCAGGCTGCGGCTTTAACCCGCTGCACCACAGCGCAGGCCCCAGCGTGTAAATTCTTAGGAATTCTAGGCACAGTGCTTTAGGCTTGGCATTGTGACAGTTCACAGGTGGCAACCAACATGTTTGTAAGGATAGAACAAATTGGGTTTGCAAGATAGCAAGATGGTGAGGAGTTGATAGTGTTACAGGCATTTCTGAAGGTTACGAATGGGTCTTTCTGAAAACAGGTTAGTTTTCCTCTGAGGGTGCTGGGCGAGGCCACCTTGCCAGTCTTTCAGGGCCAATGATTTTTGTATTTTAGTTGATTGCAGTGGCTAAGCTGTACATGAATTTCCTGATTGGATTGTGTCCAGCCAGCCATGAGCAAAATCAGCCTGTGCCTCTCTGTAGAGATGTGTCAGCTTTACAAGTTGAAAAAAGCTTGGCAGCACTGGATCATTGCTTTATCTACCACTTTGTATGTGATTAGAACATGTCAGTTGTAGTTATGCTAGGGGATTATGATGGATTTATACATGCTTTGCTTTGGTACCTTTTCTAGTTAAGTCTCAAGATCATGTCTACAGCCTGTTCAGAGCAAACACTACAGGTGGGAAAAGTCAGAATGTTTCGGCCTCTTCCCTTCACAGTTAAGCTTTAATGTGTTGGAGGGAGCAGGTGTTGAGCCTAGCAGTTAGGACCTGGGAGGCAGCAGGAATGGCTCCAATAATTATGCACCTGCTACCCAGGTGGGAGACCTGGATTGCAGCTCCAGCTCCTGCTTGCAGCTTCAGTGTAGCCCCAGATGTTGTGAGCATTTGATGAGTGAACCAGTGGATGGCAGTGTGTGTTCTCTCTCTCTTTGCTCTGTCGTTTGCTCTCTCCCTCTCTCTGTCTGCCTCCAAGATAGAAAAAAAATTTTGAGGGGGCTTATAGCTATTGAAGAGTCCTCTGTCCTATTCCTGGTTTTCCTTAAAAAGTCTTCCCAGACTGATGAGCAGTGTCACATGGGAGTTGGAGTTGAAGCTGTTTGTCCTATAGGAATGCATCCCATCTTGGAATAAGATGGCCAATTAAAATGGAAGGAAAAGAAAGCATAGAAGAAATATAGAAGAATGAAGTATAGAAGGAAGAGAAAAAAGGGAAGAGGTGTGGTGTGTGGTGTCCTGAGGTGAGCACAGGTACGAGGCAGGCAAGGACGCAGGCCTCCTGGCCCTAGGAAATCATTAGTGGTGCTAATTACCTCTCCTCCCCTCTTTAAAAATTTTGTTTCGCAGCCGGCGCCGTGGCTCAATAGGCTAATCCTCCACCATGCGGCGCCGGCACACCGGGTTCTAGTCCCGGTTGGGGCGCCGGATTCTGTCCCGGTTGCCCCTCTTCCAGGCCAGCTCTCTGCTATGGCCAGGGAGTGCAGTGGAGGATGGCCCAGGTGCTTGGGCCCTGCACCCCATGGGAGACCAGGAAAAGCACCTGGATCCTGGCTCCTGCATCGGATCAGCACGGTGCGCCGGCTGCAGCGGCGGCCATTGGAGGGTGATCCAACGGCAAAGGAAGACCTTTCTCTCTCTGTCTCTCTATCTCTCACTGTCCACTCTGCCTGTCAAAAAAAAAAAAAAATTTTTGTTCCATGCTAAGAAAGCACATAAGCTAAAGAAAACCGAGCCTTGTGGGAGAAAATGACCCTGGGATGACATCGCTACTATGCCCTGTGGGGGAGGTGGATCCCCGCCTTACTGATCTGCTCAGAGACTTGGGTTCTCACTTGCTGGAGACCCCCTGCCAGCCAGGCTGTCAGAGCCAGTTTTTTTTTTTTTTTTTCCTGACAGGCAGAGTAGATAGAGACAGAGAGAAAGGTCTTCCTTTGCCGTTGGTTCACCCTCCAATGGCCGCCGCGGCCGGCGTACCGCGCTGATCCCAAGCCAGGAGCCAGGTGCTTCCTCCTGGTCTCCCATGGGGTGCAGGGCCCAAGCACTTGGGCCATCCTCCACTGCACTCCCGGGCCACAGCAGAGAGCTGGCCTGGAAGAGGAGCAACCGGGACAGAATCCAGCGCCCCGACCGGGACTATAACCCAGGGTGCCGGTGCCGCAGGCAGAGGATTAGCCTAGTGAGCCGTGGCGCTGGCCTGTTTTTTTGTTTTTTGACAGGCAGAGTTAGACAGTGAGAGAGAGAGAGAAAGGTCTTCCTTCCGTTGGTTCACCCCCCAAATGGCTGCTACAGCCAGCGCGCTGCGCTGATCCGAAGCCAGGAGCCAGGTGCTTCTCCTGGTCTCCCATGGGGTGCAGGGCCCAAGCACTTGGGCCATCCTCCACTGCACTCCCAGGCCACAGCAGAGAGCTGGCCTGGAAGAGGGGCAACCGGGACAGAATCCAGCACCCCGACCAGGACTAGAACCCGGGGTGCCAGCGCCGCAGGCCAGGCGGAGGATTAGCCTAGTGAGCCGCGGCGCCGGCCAGAGCCTGGTTTTTAAGTCCAGGCCTATCCCTGACGCTGCTGTGCAGGATACTTCTGTTTACATTTTTTGAGGGCGGCAGAACACAGACAGGATTTGAGCACCACGAAACAATGCAGGCATGGAGGAAACGGACACGCTGAGGGGGAGGGAAGAGGCCTCAGCTCCCCTAGCTGCTTTGGGCTGTTCCCTTCTGGTCCTCTTGGGGGCGCCTTGCCTCCTTTCTCACCTGTGAGAATTGCTCGGAACTCAATGGCTGGCCTCTCATACTGGAGTCGTCGCTGACTCCTAACATCCGTGGGGCCTGTCCCCAAGAGCACAGTGCAGCCTCCTCTTGCCAGCTGCAGATCCCACGGGCATCCCAGCTTTCCCACAGAGCTGCGGCAGCTCCCACCCCTCCCACTGCTGTACTCAGACACAGCAGAGTGCGGAATCCCAGGGCCTCAGCACTCGCTCGGTTAAAAACCCCTCCTGGTATCGGCATTTGGCCCCCTAAAATATATACGAAATGTGGCGTCTTAAAGTTCCCCAGAAGTCCCATCTGGGGTGTCACATGTTATTGGAATGTATGATTGTGTCACACAATATCACAATATGCTTATTAATAAATCCCCAATATTAAAAAGCCCGAGTGGGTTCTTGCGTAATATTTAGAGAATTCTAAGTACTGGCATAAATGAATGAGGCAGCATGGTACACTTTAAGCTTTTATTCAGTACGAAATATGCATAGGAGAGTGAGGGCTTTATCTAAGAGAGGGGTAAATCTGGGTTCCTACCAGGAACCAGCCACGCGGAGGCGCATCTAGGCCAGGAAGCACAGGGCGGGTTGGCCGGAAGGCCATGCGCCCTGAAGGTGCAGGGCTACAGCCAGCCCCCTGCTGGCAAGAGACCAGGGAGAGGAAAAGGAGGAAGGGGCCGGGCACACCCTGTCCCAGGCTTTTAATCCACTTTCAAAGGAGAGTAACTAATTAACCTGATTGGCTCAGGTGTGGCCAGGTAGGGGCATGAGGTCACACAGGGGCGTGGTGAAGGCGTGGTCTTCCAGCTCACAAACCTGATCTAACCTGTATGCCTGTCTACTTCACTCCCTCATTTGGTTCCCGGCTGAACTGACTTCTCAGAAAGGGCTTTTTTGCCCACCGTGTTTTTAAACTGCACCCATTCTTTTTTCCATGCTTAATTTTTCTCAGTAGCACCCTCATTATTTGACACAGCCTGCGTTTTTCATAGGGCCTCCCTAGTAGAAGGAAAGCTTCGGAGAACAAGGATTCCCATGTTAGCGCTTTGTCGCTGTTTCCTCAGGGCTTGGAACGGTATCTGGCCCACAGTAGCTGCCCAGTTATTGCTGAGAAGACGCCTGCACAACCAGCTTTTACTATGCCCTTACGATCCACATTAGCTTGTTAAGCAACTATTAGTAATAATAAGCAATGCTAGATGTCGTTGACTTTATAATATGTATTATGTTAGACGTGGAGCTAAGTAATCCAGGAACCATATTAAGTTGATTATTGAATGACCTGAACCACTGCCCGTTCCTGGCACTCGCTATCGTATACTCCCCTTCCCTCCATCTGGCCAGATGTGACCCTACCCTGACCCAGGTCCAGGAATGTAAAGTAATTACCTATGCCTATAAGGTTCAAAGCTTTAGATAACAACCAGCCACTACCCCAGAGTTGGCAGCGATGTCGGGATTTATCGGAAGTGTCAACTTGATCTATAGCATTCCCTTAAAGCCTGCTTGGACATGATAATAAAAGCTTTGTAAGAATTAGGCTCGGGGCTTCTCAGGTGCATTCTCTCCTGGAGGCACTGAGAGGCCCGGGTTCGAACTCGCAATAAAAACGACCCTGCTATTTGGCTTCAACTTCGGTCTCTGGTGGTGTGATTTTCGGGGACCACGGACTGCGGGCACAACATTGCGTGTTGAATGAACAGCAGGTGCAGAAGTGGAGTCCTGGATACTACTGTACGGTGGTAGGAAGCCCTGCAGCCCAGTCTTAGAATTCATAAAATCAGGGGCCGGCATCCTAGGTCCCTGCTAATGCCCTGGGAAGGCAGCAGCAGATGGCCCTGCACCTACGTGGGGGACCCAGAGGAGGCTCCTGGCTCCTGGCTTCCAACCGGCCCAGCCTTGGCCCTTGCAGCCATTTGGGGAGTTGAACCAGCGGACAGATCTCTGTTTGTCTAACGGCTTTTCAGTAAAATAAATCTTTGGGGCTGGCGCTGTGGTACAGTGGTTAACACCCTCAGCTGAAGCGCCGGTTCGAGTCCCGGCTGCTCCTCTTCCGATCCAGCTCTCTGCTATGGCCTGGGAAAGCAGTAGAAGATGGCCCAAGTCCTTGGGGTCCTGCACCCGCGTGGGAGACCTGGAAGAAGCTCCTGGCTTCGGATGGGCGCAGCTCCGGCTGTTGCAGCCAACTGGGGAGTGAACCATCGGACGGAAGACCTCTCTCTGCCTCTCCTCTCTCTCTGAAACTCTGGCTTTCAAATAAATAAATAAATCTTTAAAAAATAAAATAAATCTTTAAATAAAAAAGAAATTTTAAAAATTCATAAAAGGAAGTTCTTCATATTCCAGGTTGGCGGCGCCTGAGCCTCTGGCAACCACCTGCCCGCTTCTCTGCGGTGCCCGGTCCCGAACGCCCGCCCTGGCGGCAGCGCCGGAACGTTTCTGCGTGGCGCGCAGTGCGCGGCGGAAGGTGTACGGCGGTGCTCCTCGCCGCCGGGCGGGCGCTTCCGGCAGAGGGCCGTGTCGGCGGACCCGGGAGGCGGTAGGTAGAGGTTTGCCGCCCGCGGAGGCGGCCGGAGGCTGCACTGCTCCGGCCGGCGTCTCGGGGAAGGAGGATGGGAGGGGGAGGAGACTATTCTGAGCAGCCGGGAAGGCGCGGCCGCGGCCTGGGGAAGGGTTCCCTCCCTAGGGCGGGCGGCCGCGGGGGTTGAGAGCCGTGGCGCTGGCCTGGAGCTTGTCCTCCCCTCCAGCGAGGTGCCGGGGTCTGCGCCTTGAGGGCCGCGCCTAACACCCGGCGCCGGCGCCTGGTAGCACCCGCGTCGCGCGTGGCGTGGCGGTTGGGTGCAGCTCTCGCTGGTTGGCAGGGAGCACTCGCAGCGCGGTTCAGGGTGCGCGTGGGCTCCGGGCAGCGGATGCGCGATGTTTCCAGACGGACTCGGGGGACTCAGAGAGAGAGAGAGAGCGAGCGGTTCCGAGTCCTCCTCTCGTGTGCGGCGTGGGCGGTTCCGAGTCCTCCTCTCGTGTGCGGCGCGGGCGGTTCCGAGTCCTCTCGTGTGCGGCGTGGGCGGTTCCGAGTCCTCCTCTCGTGTGCCGCGTGGGCGGTTCCGAGTCCTCCTCTCGTGTGCGGCGCGGGCGGTTCCGAGTCCTCCTCTCGTGTGCCGCGTGGATGCAGGCCTCCGTGTGAACGTCCGCCGCGCGGGGCTCGGTGGCGCCTGCCCGGGGTCCCCCACGCGGGCGGCGCTGGTCACGCCGTGAGCGCAAAGCCGCTTCCTCCTCCTCGTGTTTGCTCCCATCCAGGCATGTTCAGGGTGAAATGGCCCTGCACTCAACTTTGTTTTTTAACTTCAGAGACTAAACAGTATATATCATTCATATATCATATATTATATATATAAAGTATATATGTGATACATACTTAAAACATAATTGCATACCGATGTGATATTTTAATAGTAGCCACTTTAGGAACTTGAGATTAAGACCATGCCAGCTTTTCGTTGTTTATATTCGCATAACTGCGGAAGGCTTAGAGGAGGATCCAGACACTCAGTGTCACCACCTGTGCCGAAGCAGCACAGTCCCTCCTAGGTATGTTCAGGAAAGTGATTGGATCGCCGGATTTCCTGAGAGAAGCCAGTCAATGACAAAGCCCAGAGAGTGTTTTGTAAATTCACCAGCGGTAATACCGGACGTAAGCTAATAACCTGACTATGGCAGATTTCACAGGAAGCAGTAATGCCTTAGAAGTAGTCTCCAGTTTGTCGGTAGACTTTAATTCCCAAAGTCAGTTCTTGGAATTTTAAACGTAATTTCCACAGAAATGATGTAAACAGAGTAAGGCCACCACAGAAGTTCATCTTTGCCGGTGACAGCAGATACACTTTTATCCTGATGTCTTGGCACTTGAGAGCCCTTTGGCCCCTTGCTTATGGAAGAAGGGAGCCCAGGGCTGCGTGGAAAGGGTGGAGATGTGAGTTATGGGGATATGCATGGCTGGGCTGTGGTTAATACGCCACCACGAGTTCTATCTCTAGTTATAAAGGGGTAAGTATGACATGAACTAAAGGAAAGAATGAGGAAGCAGAAAGCCAGGCGTCCTCAGTCCTGTCATCCACAGGAAGCCCTTCGTCCTGTTCATCGAATGGCTGAATAAATATTTCCTTTGTCTTTGTCTTTTACTAGTAGTTGAAGCTATACAGCGTCCTTTTGTGAATTAGAAGCCATAGCATTTACTCATTTCTAAGTGATCCATTTCACTTTTAAGCATTTCATTGTGAGAGAATTGAGACACGTTTCTGTGAGCAATTTGTGGGAGCAAGCTCAGGGCATCCCTGTTTATCCATCACTCTGCTTACTGATCATCAGTTGTGGCTAATCTTGCTTCGGTCACACCACACCCACGGCCCGTGATTCCATGATTTTACTCTGTGACATATCTATAGCGCATTTTTATTTTTTTTATAAATGGTAGAAGATGTTTTGTGGTGCTGAGATTTTGCATGAATATCCATATTCTTTCTTGGAAGTGGGAAAAATACCTCTGAGAATTTTGTATTTTTATCTGACAGGAATTACTGAAAAAGCTACAGGAAATAAGAACTTGCATTCTGATTTTTTAAACATGTATTTCTCTTTAATTTTCAGTTTAAATTGGATCCATTTTGTAACATCTTTAGAAAGTTCACATTCTAATGTTTTTACAGAATATAAACTATATAATACATTTAAAAATATTCATAATACATTTTTTAAAAAACTAATGTTTTTACAGAATATAAAATATATTACATCTTTAAAAAAAAATGGATGAAGAGCCTGAAAGAACCAAGCGGTGGGAAGGAGGCTATGAGAGAACATGGTAAGCAGGGTGTTGTTTCTCTTTTCCATTTAGACATCTTTTTTTACGCATTATTGAAGTATGTTATGTTTTACATATATTAAAATTCACCCATTTTTGATCTACAATTCAGTGACTTTTTTGGGGGTTAGATTTATTTATTTATAAGTCAGAATTAGAGAGATTGTCCCATCTGCTGGGTCACTCCTAAAATGGCTGCAATGGCTGGGCCTGAGCCAGGCTGAAGCCAGGAGCCAGGAGCTTCCTCCAGGTCTCTCACGTGGGTGCAGGGGCCCAAGCTCTAGGGCCATCTTCCACTGCTTTCCCAGGCCAGAGCAGAGAGCTGGATCAGAAGTGGAGCAGCCGGGACTAGAACCAGCCCCCATATGGGATGCCAGCACTGCAGGCGGTGGCTTTACATGCTATGCCACAATGCCGGCCTCTCACTTAGTGGTTTTAAGGCTTATCCCTGTTGTAACATGTTTTAGTACTTTATTCCTAAAAAGCATTCCATTTCATGGTTATATGACATTTTTGTTTATCTGTCATGGGTTGTTTGACATCTAGGTTGTTTACAATTTTTGCTATGGTGAATAATGCTGCTATGAATTTGCATGTGCAGATCTCTGTGGATTTATGTTTTCAGTTCTCTTGGATTAATCTTTTTAGCTTATCTTTTCAAACAATTATTACTTATAGGGAGATTCTTAAAGAAGATGAATCTGGATCACTAAAAGCCACAATAGAAGACATTCTTTTCAAGGCAAAGAGGAAAAGGTATGTGAACTATGCTAAGTGTGTTACAAAAGGTAAAACACCATTCCTTCAAGGCTTTCTGTCCACCTGTAGCCACCAGTGTTTGAGTTCATGTGTGTTTAAGGGAAAATGACTTACGGTTATCCGAATGGGAAGGAACCCACAATGCAGGCTTGGCCCAGCAGGGGAATGGTCTTCATGGACTATTCACGATGCCTATAGCTTTATGTATGCCTTAAGTTAAGAATTTACTTCACTAAAAATGCAGGCTTTGGTTTTGGGGACCATATGTGATATTCAGTTCAATTCAATTAAAATGTTTGTATGATTTTAACAGAGTATTTGAGCACCATGGACAAGTACGACTGGGAATGGTAAGTTATAATTTCTTTTTTTTCTGGTACAGAGCTAGTTTGGATTAGAGAAATTTGTCACCTTAATGGAAGAAACAACAGTAAAATAAAATAACTTAAAAATACATAAAAATCTCTTAAAATATAAGTAATTATGTATTAAAATATATTAAATAAATATGACTGAAATATGTGAATATTTTATTTCTTAGTCAAATCCGTACTTGGGAATTGTCTTCTTTTTTGATAGATGCGCCACCTTTATGTGGTGGTAGATGGATCAAGAACAATGGAAGACCAAGATTTAAAGCCTAATAGACTGACATGTACTTTAAAGGTTAGTAAAATCATTTAAATTTACACTAAATGAAGAAAATGACACTCGATTCCGAAAATAATTTTTTATGAATGCAAAAGTTTTTGTGTGTGTGTGCATGTGGGTTGTTTGTGTTCTGTTAATATAAGCAATAGTTGAGTAGGTAAGTGCTGCCAGATCATTTAGGGAAATGACAAAGTGAAGGCTGCTTATTTATGCCTTTAGTTTCTGCTCTTCCACCCCAAGTCGGGGTCTTGGTTTTTCAGTTGATTCTTTTCTTTAATTCTCCTTTTCCTTTGACTTACTTGAATCTGTCTTCTCAGCTTACAAACATATTCATATGATTCCTGATTAAAAACCTACCATCAATTCTGTTCATTTTCACATTTTTCTTCATTGGATTTTTTATTTATATTATTTCTGTCACGTCCAATTAGACCCAACTTTTAGTTAGTATTTATTTGACTGATTGATTGATTGAAAGGCAGAGAGACAGGGAGGGAGCTTCCATTTACTGGTTCACTTCCCAAATGCCTGCAAAAGCCAGGACTGGGCCAGGCTGAATCCCTAGAAGTGGATTCAGGTCTCCAGTGTGGGTGGCAGGGACCCAGGCACTTGAGCCATCCCTGCTGCCCGTCTCCCACAGTGTGCATTGGCAGATAGCTGGTACTGGGAGAAGAGCCAGCACAGGCGCTCTGATAGGGGATGTAGGCTTCTAGAGCTGTGTCTTAACTGCTGTGCCAGACACCCACCCCTGGGCCCAGCATGTAAAGCCGAACTTGAACCACTGCTTCAAATGGAAGTTTTTTGCTGCTTAATGTTTTCACTGTTGAACACTTTTCACAATCTCTGAACTTAAAAATCATGAGAAGTGGTACTTGATAGAGTTCACAGAACACTAGTCAGACATTTTCTCTATTGTTATTTTACCCTTAACTAATATTTCTATTTTATTTTCTTTAAACAGTTATTGGAATACTTTGTGGAGGAATATTTTGATCAAAATCCTATTAGTCAGGTATGTAGATAAAGTAATAGAATTCGGAATTAAATTCCTGTTTTGTTCCCAAATAGAGTTTCTAAATATACGATTACGGTGTGATCCACATTGTGTACCAGTTTCTATAATGCTTATCAATGAAGAACAAAGGAGCTCTGTGAGTTACGGTACACTGAGCTCATAGCTGAATTTGTCAAAAACACTGAGGAAAAGTTTCTTACCTTGCTTATTTCTTTCATAGTGACTAATTTATTTTGTTGTATGTTATTATCAAGGAGAAATAATGTTAATCATCATTTTTGTTTTTATTTTGAGATTGGAATAATTGTTACAAAGAGTAAAAGAGCTGAAAAACTGACTGAACTCTCAGGTACGCGTAAAGTTACCCCTGTTGGACTCTAGGCCTTGTAGCCCTGTTCTGTGACTGCGAGTAGCTAACGTGAAGGCTTTCTCTGCTCTCCCGTGAAGCCACTTAGCAATGCCGCCCACTTCACTTTTGGGATGTAAGAGTAGACTGAGTTCTGCACAGTGCTGAATAGTATTCCACTGGATGTTAGGACATGTTTTAAGATCTATCCATTTGTGTCCTGAAAATAGTAAAATAAACTTATTGTAATTATTGATAAAATCTACTTCATTTTTTTTAAAGATTTACATATTTATTTTGAAGGTCAGAGTTACAGAGAGAACACAGAGATTTTTCCACCTGCTGTAGTCAAGACTGGGCCAGACCAAAGCCACGAGCCAGGAGCTTCATCCAGGTGTCCCATGTGGGTGCCGGGGCCCAAGGACTTGGGCCATTTTCCACTGCTTTCCCAGGCCCTTTAGCAGGGAACTGGATCAGACGTGGAGCATCCAGTACTTGAAGCAGCACCCACACGAGATGCTGGCATCCCAGGTGGTAATGTTACCTGTTATGCCACAACACCAGCCCCAATCCACTTAATCTTCAAATTAATTTTTTTTTAAAGTTAAACATGTAATTTACAAAGCAAAAAGCATAAAAAATTACATTGTACCCATTGTTAATGATTTGATTTTTCTGCTTCCATCACATACTTCCCTCAATTTCAGTATCTTAAAGATAATAATGGCAGGGGCTGGTGCTGTGGCATAGTGGGTGAAGCCGCTGTCTGCACTGCCAGCATCCCATATGGGCGCCAGCTTGAGTCCCTACTGCTCTACTTCTGATCCAGCTCTCTGCTAGGGCCTAGGAAAGCAGTAGAAGATGGTCCAAGTGCTTGGGCCCCTGTACTTGTGTGGGAGACCTGGAAGAAGCTCCTGGCTCCTGGCTTCGGATCAGCCCAGCTCCAGCTGTTGCAGCCATTTGGGGAGTGAACCAGCAGATGGAAGACACCTCTCTCTCTCTTTCTCACTCTCTGTCTCTGCCTCTCTCTAACTCTGCCTTTCAAATAAATAAACAAATAAATCTACAGAAAAAAAGAGTGACAGAGGGAAAGGGAGAGAGAGTGTGGTGTCTTCTATCTGCTTTTTCACTCCCCAAATGCTAATTTATTCCCCAACAGCCAAGGCTAGACTAGGCCTAAGCCAGGAGCCAGGAACTTAGTCTGGTCTGCCACCTGGGTGTCGGGGACCTGAGTAATTGAGCCGTCACTTGCTGTCTCCCCATTTGCATTAGTAGGGAGCTGTAATGGAGGCAGAGGAGCCAGGGCTTGAACCACACTTCTGTATGGGGTTTGGGCATCTCAAGTGGCATCCTAACTGTTGGGCCAAATATCCACCCTGGATTCTCCTTTGTAATGTCATAGATGTGTAAGTTTTAGGAAAGGCATACATTTCCATAATGTATATGTAATATTTTGTTAAAAGTTGTTCTATTTGTATTTTAGGAAACCCAAGAAAACATATAACGTCTCTGAAGAAAGCTGTTGATATGACCTGCCATGGAGAACCATCTCTTTATAATTCCTTAAGTATGGCCATGCAAACTCTAAAGTTAGTACTTTACGTTTACTTCTAGTTGATTTGGAGGTTTTTTAATGAGTTAAGATGAAATGATAATATGTTAGTGTGGGGTGCCATCATCCCAGTTATTACAAAATCATTAAACAGGAAAGGTGTGTTATGTATGATGTTAATTATGATGTTGGTTAGTATTTATATTTTAGTAGGTGAGTTATATCCTGAAAGATTTTACAAAAATATGATAAAACTATAGGCAGCATCAGCAGTACAGAAGAAATATGCTGATGGAGGAATATTCTATTAAAAATTAATTACATGTGAAATTTGGTATAGTATATTAATTTTGAGTTGGTTATGCCTTTATTGAAATTTATTAAGCCGGCGCCGTGGCTCAATAGGCTAATCCTCCACCTTGCGGCGCCGGCACACCGGGTTCTAGTCCCGGTTGGGGCGCCGGATTCTGTCCCGGTTGCCCCTCTTCCAGGCCAGCTCTCTGCTATGGCCAGGGAGTGCAGTGGAGGATGGCCCAGGTGCTTGGGCCCTGCACCCCATGGGAGACCAGGAAAAAAGCACCTGGCTCCTGGCTCCTGCCAGGATCAGCGCGGTGCGCCCGGCTGCAGCGCCGGCCATTGGAGGGGTGAACCAACGGCAAAGGGAAGACCTTTCTCTCTCCTGTCTTCTCCTCTCTCACTGCCCCTCCTGCCCTGGCCAAAAAAAAAAAAAAAAAAGAAATTTATTAACTTTACCTTTGCTGGGGTCAGAAAATTTAATGGCTGCTTTTCCGGCGAAGTTAACAATGTAGAATATAGTAGGAGCCTAAAGAAAATATTCAGTATAATTAAAGCTCATATATTTTTTTTTGAATAATCTGTCCTGGCTGAGATTTTGTATTTTTTTAGTTGTGAAGTAGACAAGGAGGTAACACTAATATTAAAGATAAGCACAGTACAAGATCAGCAAGCAGAAATGAAGAACAAAACAATGACAATATAATTAGGAAAGCTGTAACTGATGAAACTGTCCCCAGAATAATAGAAATTCCTATTTAATACTCAGGAAAACAGCTGTCCACGTCTTAAAACCTATACACTATCATTTCATTCTTTAATTAATGATATATGAAATTGATGTTTATAATTTTTATGACTAAGAATTATGAGGCTAAATTACAGTCTTTTAGAAAGAACCAAGTTACTATTATTAAACCATATATATGTACACCTTAAAATTGATGTATGTGACAATTGTATTTCTAAATCTACACTTTAGACTGTATGAAATAAATTTAATAGAATATAAGTTTTGTGATGTTAGGAACCTTGTCAATCTATTTAAGAAAATACCCCCGAAATATTTATTTCAGGGAATATTTTTTTAAAGATTTATTTATTTATTTGAAAGGCAGAGTCCCAGAGAGGCAGAGGCAGAGAGAGGTCTTCCATCCACTGGTTCACTCCCCAAATGACCACAGTGGCCGAAAGTGGACCAATCCAAAGCCAAGAATCAGGAGCATCTTCCAGGTCTCCCATGTGGGTTCAGGGGTCCAAGGACTCGGACCATCTTCTATTGCTTTCCCAGACCATAACAGTTGGATTGAAAGTGGAGTAGCTGGGACTCGAACTGGCGTCGATATTGAATGCCAGCACTACGCCAAAGTACTGGCCCCATAGGGAATAATTTTTTAAGTACATATCTCATTTTAGGAAAATTTACATTAAAATGTTTAAACTGTACTCACAATTGAATCCTTGTAATGCTGAAACAATAAGGAATTCTGTAGTATAATTGTGTAAACCATGTGTGCTATCCTGTCTGGGTGAATTTTTTACTAATGATTGGGTACACCTAATTGGAATATATTTTATCTTTCTTTAGACACATGCCAGGACATACAAGTCGAGAAGTCCTAATCATCTTTAGCAGCCTTACAACTTGCGACCCATCAAACATTTATGATCTAATCAAGGTAAAGACAATAAGTGAATACCAGAGTTACAGCATTAAAGAAAATTCTGTATTAATCACTGTTTTTCAGAGAATTCTTTGTTTTTCAAATACATTAATTCTTAAAATGTTTTCTTCTCCTCAAACTCTGCATTTACCTGGATTTTATAAAGACCCTAAAGGCAGCTAAAATTAGAGTGTCTGTTATTGGACTGTCTGCAGAGGTTCGAGTGTGCACTGTACTTGCTCGTGAAACTGGTGGTATGTATCAGATATACTCAGTATATATCCATAGTTATTGTTTAAGAAATCGCTTATGAATCAAATTATGATCTTTTAATCCTTCTAATGCTACTAAACTGAAATCAATTTGTATTCAGTAGTCCAAAATATGGGCAAATATATCATTGATTTCACAAGAAATTTCAAAATAAAAGGACTTACCAACAGTTGTGTCAGGGTTTGAGGAAGTACGCTCTTGAAAAACTGGAGTTTTCAGTGTGTGTAATACTTGGTGAAGATTTTGTAACTTGGCTTTAATGCAGTTATTTATTTATTTTTTAAAGATTTATTTATTTATTTAAAAGGCAGAGTTAGAGAGAGAGCACAAAATCTTCCATTCTCTGGTTTACTCCCCAAGAGCTGGGCTGGTCTGAAGCTGGAGCCAGGAGTTTTTTCCGGGTCTCCCAAGTGGGTGCAGGGGCTCAAGGGCTTGAACCATCTTCCACTGCTTTCCCAGGCCACAGCAGAGAGCTGGACCGAAGTGGAGCAGCTGGAACACTAACTGGTGCCCATGTGGGGTACCAGCACCACACGCACTGCTTCACCTGCTACGCTACAGGGTTGGCCCTTAATTATAGTTATAATTACATCTATTCCTAGAAAATTGATTTGGAGATATTATTTAAATAACTTTAAGCAATAGTGTAGCTCAAATTGTTATTTTGAAAATGTTACACTTTTAGATGACAAAACTTTTACTGAATTACATAGAAATTGCAATTAATTGTTAAGCCTGCAAACCTGATTGATTTCTCTTGGGTTACTTTTCATCTTGTTAGGCACGTACCACGTTATTTTGGATGAAAGCCATTACAAGGAACTGCTGACACATCATGTTAGCCCACCTCCTGCCAGCTCGAGTTCTGAATGCTCACTTATTCGGATGGGTAAGTGTTTTGTTGCTTTAAAATAGGATTTAAAAAGTATGTTTATTTGCTCAAACTAAGCTGTTTAACTTGCACAAGTTTCAATTTTTAACTCTTAGGAAATTTTTTTAATGATGATTAGAAAAAAAGATTATTGAAAGAATTTTGGAAAATGTAGAGAAGTATAAAAAGGATTAAAATAATTAGTTCTGTCACCCAGAGAACACTACCCGCTTTCTGTATCATGAAAGAAAAATATACAAAGACAGTGTTTTTAGAAAAATGCTTTTGTTAAGGAATTTTAAAAAATAAGCTTCAGAATCCTTTTCACTGTATGATTAAAGTTGCGTTGTAGAAGCCGTGCAGACAGATGTTCCAGATACGCACACCAAAATCTCCAAGTGCTTTCTCTCAGGGGAAAGAGAGTGGTTAGTTACAGATTATTTGAAAAATATTTCATTTTCCTCATCTTCCAAAAATTTCATGATAAGCATTTATATTTATATTGAAAAAGAAGACAGACTTTAAAAAAACTATGAAACAAATCGTGTTTGTTAGTGAGGTGGAAGGCTTTTTCATCTTGTTTTTGGCCTTTTATGTTTTGTCAGTGGTCCATCTTTGTTTCCCGTTTACTCATCTATAAAATGATAAAGTATTTATCTGATTGTGTGTAACAGAGTTAGAATTAATATAGATGACATACTTAGAATAATGCTTGATGTAAACATTGAATACATTTTAGGTATTGTGTTGACTAATCTTTTTTGACTTACTGATACAGTTCCTTTTTTTTTTTTACTGATACATTTCCTTACCCCATCTTATAGATATTATTTAAACTTATAATCTAGAATTTTTCAGATTGATTTGTTGGAGTCCTTTAGGAATATCAAGTCTTTCTGTCAGTCGATGAAAATATTTTCCAGTTATTTACCTGCTTTTCCTATGTTTTGATACATAAAGTTACATACATTAATTTTTATGTAAACTTTTTTAATGGTTTCTGCTTTATCTGAACATATTTTCCATTAAAAATTATACATGGAAGATAAAATACATGAAGGGCTTGGACTTTCTAAAATTTAAGCACAGAGGTAGGCCGGCGCCGCGGCTCACTAGGCTAATCCTCCGCCTAGCGGCGCCGGCACACCGGGTTCTAGTCCCGGTCGGGGCGCCGGATTCTGTCCCGGTTGCCCCTCTTCCAGGCCAGCCCTCTGCTGTGGCCCGGGAGTGCAGTGGAGGATGGCCCAGGTGCTTGGGCCCTGCACCCCATGGGAGACCAGGAAAAGCACCTGGCTCCTGGCTCCTGCCATCGGATCAGCGCGGTGCGCCGGCCGCAGCGCGCCGGCCGCGGCGGCCATTGGAGGGTGGACCAACGGCAAAGGAAGACCTTTCTCTCTGTCTCTCTCTCTCACTGTCCACTCTGCCTGTCAAAAAAAAAAAAAAAAATTAAAAAATTAAAAAAAAAAAATTTAAGCACAGAGGTGTGTGCTGCTATGGTGCAGTGAAAATGTGATGTAATGTGTGCTAAAGTGACTGTAATATAAGCTTTAGTTCGGTCAGAAACGGTACAAAAATTACAAACTTTTTCAAAAGATTTGTTTATTTATTTGAAAGGCAAAGTTACAGAGAGACAGAGAAAGAGAGATAGAGAGAAATGTCTTCCATCTGCTGTTCCGCTCCCCAAATGGCCGCAACGGCTAGAGCTTTGCCATTCTGAAGCCAGGAGCCAGGAACTTCTTCCCTGTCTTCCATGTGGATGCAGGGGCCCAAGCACTTGGGCCATCTTCAGCTGCTTTCCCAGGCCATAGCAGAGAGCTGGATTGGAAGTGGAGCAGCCGGGACTTGAATAGGTGCCTAGATGGGATGCTGGCATTGTGGGTGGCGGCTTTGCCTGCTATGCCACAGCCTTGGCCCCCAAACTTTTTCTTTTTTAAAGATTGATTGATTTGAAGGGTAGAGTGACGGAGAGATCTTTCATCCTCTGGTTCACTCCCCAAATGGCCTGAATAGCCAGATCCGGGTCAGGTTGGAGCTAGAAGCCAGGAATTCCATCTGGGTCTCTCGCATGGGTTGCAGGGGCCCAAGCAGTTGGACCATCTTCTACTGCCTTCCCAGGCACCTTAGCGGGGAAATGTAGAGCTGGGACTCAGGCTGACACTCCAGTGTGGTTTGATGCCATCACAAGCAGTAGCTTACCCTGCCGTGCCACGATGCTGGTCCCCAAACTTCTTCTTTTTAAAAAGTGCTGTTGGTGGCCAGTGCTGTGACACAGCTACCCGCGATGCTGGCATCCCATGTGGTTGCTGGTTTGAGTCCCAGTTGCTTCACTTCTGATCCAGGTCCCTGCTCGTATGCCTGGGAAAGCAGCAAATTATGGCCCAAGTGCTTGGACCCTGCCACCTACGTTGGAGACCCACAAGAGGCTCCTGGCTTCAGCTTGGCCCAGCTCCAGATGTTGCAGCCATTTGGAGAGTGAACCAGTGGATAAAAGGTCTCTCTTCTCTGCTCCCTTTCACCATAACCTGCTTTTCAAATTAGTAAATCTTAAATCAATTAGAAAATACAGATATAAACATTAGAATCTGAAGTCCTACTTACAGACAGATCTTTTCCCTTTTCCGTCTACTTTTTCTTTGGCATTGAAATACAGTGAGTTTCCTCATGTTCTATAATAAACATGTATGACTATGTCTAGAGGCAAGGTAGGGAGATTTTGTACAGCTTTGTCGACCTTCTGGTAGAATCATTTTTAGTTTCTTGTCTAAGAATGTTGCTCTTTGCTTGCGACTAGAAAGTAACATGTTTTCTTCTGTGAAGGATTTCCCCAGCACACCATTGCTTCTCTGTCTGATCAAGATGCGAAACCCTCTTTCAGCATGGCGTAAGTGACGACCTTGAAACTGTCAGTAATCAGCTCTGTTGTGAATCCCCTCCTCTAAGTGCAGATTGAAAAGACAGGCTTGAAAGGTAATGGCTTTTATGAAAGATTCCCTTCTGTGTAGCCGTGACGAGGGTTATCCCTAAATGCTTCTGTGCGGTGATCATCAGGGTGCATTGCTGAGTGGAGCAGCAAGGTGGGGGAAGTGCACAGTGTGTCACTTGGCATCTAAGAAATGGATATGTGAGTAGATACACTTGTTTACCTTGCTGATAAAAACAGTAGCCGTAGAAATAGAAAATTAAACTAAAACAAAAAGATGTTTCTCTTGGTGAGTGTGTGGGAAAGGCAAAGGATTATACCCTAATCTTTTCTGAATTGTTGTTTTAACTTCAGTGCTTTGTATTTTTCTTTTTTGAATTTAAAGATTTATTTATATATTTGGAAAGTCAAAGTTACAGAGAGAGAGGGAGAGACAGGGAGAAATCATCCATCCTCATCACTCCTCAGATGGCCTCAGCAGAGCCAGGAGCTTCATCCAGGTGGCCCAAGTGGGTGGTAGGTGCCCAAACAGTTGGGCCATCCTCTGTTGCTTCTCTCAAGCCATTGACAGGGAGCTGGGTCAGGAGTATAGCAGCTGGTACCTGAACCAGCATCCATATAGGATGCCAGCATCACAGGCGGCATCTATACCCACTACGTCACAGTGCCAGCCCCCCAGAGCTTTACATTTTACAAAATTGTACAACGAAGGTAAAAACTAGGCTAATCTTCTGCCTGCGGCGCTGGCACCCTGGGTTCTAGTCCCAGTTGGGGCACCAGATTCTGTCCCGGTTGCTCCTCTTCCAGGCCAGCTCTCTGCTGTAGCCCGGGAGTGCAGTGGAGGATGGCCCAAGTGCTTGGGCCCTGTACCCACAGGGAGACCAGGAGGAAGCACCTGGCTTCTGGCTTTGGATTGGTGTAGCGCGCCGGCCATGGCAGACATTTAGGGTGTGAACCAACGGAAGGAAGACCTTTCTCTCACTGTCTAACTATGCTTGTCAAAACAAAACAAAACGAAACAAATCCCATCTCTTTTCCCCAGCACAGCATGCACTAAAAAAAAAAAAGTAATTCTGAAAATTCACAGGCAAGATTTCTGTCTCCAGCTATGAACTTTTTTTTTTTTTTTTTTTTTTTTTTTTTGGATAGTGAGAGAGACAGAGAGAAAGGTCTTCCTTTTCCATTGGTTCACCCCACAATGGCCGCTGCGGCTGGTGCACTGCTGCCAGTGCACCGCGCTGATCTGAAGCCAGGAGCCAGGCACCTTCTCCTGGTCTCCCATGGGGTGCAGGACCCAAGCACTCGGGCCATCCTCCACTGCCCTCCCGGGCCACAGCAGAGAGCTGGACTGGAAGAGGGGCAACCGGGACTAGAACCTGGGGTGCTGGCGCTGCAGGCGGAGGATTAACCTACTGAGCTGCGACACTGGCCTCCAGCTATGAACATTTAACAGGGATTATATTTACCTTATTGCTAAAAAGGCAGAAAAAATACCTAAGCAATTGTTTGGATCCCTGAAAGAAGGGAAACAAGTGAGGTGGGACCTGTGGGTGCACTGGCTTACTGCCCAGCACCCAGAATTCCCAGGCTATCCTGCAGAGCCTGGGGGTCCTGCTGAGTTAAAGGAACAAAGTTTCCTCCTTAAAGTTTGGGGAAGCTGAGGTGGCTGTGATTTTGCAGGGTAGAGTACCTGGAAGGACAGAGCTGCAGAGAGAACTGTCTGGAGATCTACAGAGACTTGCCCTTGAGTCACAGCTCGGTCTTGGTCAGCACGATGAACCTTCTGGACGCAAGGAAACAACTGTACTGCAGCAGGCAGAATAATCCCCAGAGCTCACATAGGACAGGGAGTAGTTCCTATTCTCATCAGTCTGTGTGGGAAGGTGTTAACATGACAAGCTTTGAATAGAGTTCACAGTGATGCAACCAAATTAACTCGAGATTGATGAGTACACTTAACCAGACTTACAGTGCTTAAAAGCAAGGTTTGAACAGATCAAACTGTTTCCAAGTTACTTATGTATAGTATTCCAGAACAAAGCCCAAATATTTAGGGAAGTTTTAAAAAGCCAACACCTAAAGGAAGATAAAATTCACAGTATCTGAGATCCCATAAAGAATTATGAAGCAGGGCTGGCACTGTGGCACAGTGGGTTAAAGCCCTGGCCTGCAGCACCGGCATCCCATATGGGTGCTGGTTCAAGTCTTAGCTGCTCCACTTCTGATCCAGCTCCCTGCTAATGCACTTGGAAAAGCAGCAGAGGGTGGCTCAAGTCCTTGGGGACCCCTTGTCTCCACATAGGAGACACAGAAATAGCTCCTGGCCTCCGATGGGTTCAGCACCAGCTGTTGCGACTATTTGGTGAGTGAACTGGCAGGTGGAAGACCTCTCTTTCTCTCGCTGTAAATCTTTCAAATACATAAAGTTTATATATAAAAAAAGAATTATGAAGTATGCTTAGAAAATGTGACCCTTTAACCAAGAAAAAATCATAAAGAAAATTTTTTTTTAAGATTTATTTATTTATTTGAAAGTCAGAATTACACAGAGAATGAGAGGCAGAGAGAGAGAGAGAGAGGTCCCATCTGTTGATTCACTCCTCAGTTTGTCACAATGGCCAGAGCTGAGTTGATCTGAAGCCAGGAACCAGGAGTGTTTTCTGGTTCTCCCACATGGGTGCAGGGACCCAAGGACTTAGCTTTCCCAGGCCATAGCAGAGAGCTGGACTGGAAGTGGAGCAGTCAGGACTTGAATCGGCGCCCATATGGGATGCCGGCGCTTTGGGCCAGGGCTTTAACCCACTGCGCCACAGTGCCGGCCCCCATAGAGAGAATTCTTTAAAAAAGATTTATTTATTTGATCAGCAGAATGACAGAGAGAGGGAAAGGCAGAGAGAGATCTATCACTGGTTACTCCCCAAATTGCTACAATGGCCAGGTGAGGAGCCAGGAATTCCATTCTGATCACCCATACGGGTGGCAGGAACCCAAGTTCTTGGTCCACATTTATCTTTCTTCTCAGGCCTATTAGCAGGAAGCTGGATCAGAAGCAGAACAGTCGGGACTTGAACCAGCCCTCTCATATATGATGCCAGCAATGCAAACACAGGCTTAACCTGCTGTAACAGAGTGCCGGCCCCCATGGAGTGGAATCGTAACATACTGAATAGAATTCCTAGACAAAGGTGTTAAACCAGGGATTGTGAATGTACTTCATCTGGTCAGAGTAGAAGAGAATGTGCGAATAAGAAGAGATACGAAAGGTATAGAAAAAACCCAAATAAAACTTCTAAACATGAATGTAATGCCTGAAGTAAAAAATACATTGGATGGGATTACAGCAGATTAGTCACTGCAGAAGAAAAGGTTATTGAATTCAAATATAGTAATAGAAACTTCCAAATAAAAAAGAGGTAAAAAGGACAAAAAGTGAATATAGTATAAGTCAGCTATAGAACACAAATATTTCAAAATAGAGTTAAATTTAAAATGGATTCCAGGTTTTAAGATTGAGGTAGCGTATTTTCTTTGGCTGTAACTTTCCACATCTCTGTGTGTCACCTTTTCAAACTAATTTTTCCCCACAGGCATTTGGACAGCAGTACTGAGCCAGGGCTCACATTAGGAGGTTATTTCTGCCCACAGTGTCGGGCCAAGTACTGTGAGCTTCCTGTTGAGTGTAAAATCTGTGGTAAGAATGCAACTATTTACTATCAATGCATTAATCTTGAATAGCTTCTTGGTCTGTATTGCTGATAAAGTAAATTTTGAGTATGCCTATATTTCAGGATTTAATCTGTATTGAGAGAAATAGATTATTATTTTCATTGAGTGCCTAGAATAAACATAGCATCCTAGAAGTGTGTCTTAATTTCTCTTTCTTTAAAAAATATATTCTTTAAAAGCAGTGCAATAGAAGCCGGCGCCGTGGCTCAATAGGCTAATCCTCCACCTTGCGGCGCCGGCACACCGGGTTCTAGTCCCGGTTGGGGCGCCGGATTCTGTCCCGGTTGCCCCTCTTCCAGGCCAGCTCTCTGCTATGGCCAGGGAGTGCAGTGGAGGATGGCCCAGGTGCTTGGGCCCTGCACCCCATGGGAGACCAGGAAAAGCATCTGGCTCCTGGCTCCTGCCAGGATCAGCGCGGTGCGCCGGCTGCAGCGGCGGCCATTGGAGGGTGAACCAACGGCAAAGGAAGACCTTTCTCTCTCTGTCTCTCTCTCTCACTGTCCACTCTGCCTGTCGTAAAAAAAAAAGCACCCACAAAAAACAAGAAATGAAGGATGATAAAGGTTTGAAACTTTGAATATACAGCATTCCACAGGAGGAGGATGAATTAGAAATCCCAAAACTTTTATAAGCCAATGGTTAAATATTCAGGATGGCAACCCTGAGCATGATCTAGAGAAATATAAAATCAATTTTTAAATTATGTTAATAGCTTGTCTCATGGTATTGGCCTAACTAGTAGTTAACATTTCCACATAGTCATGGACTTTACCCTTGATAATTGGAACCTACTTCCTTCTAGCTCTTGGGCATCTCATAAAGAACTGGTTTCCTTGAATTATGATACTGTTAGATGAGAAATCTTTAACTAATACAGCCTCCGTGGAGGTATTTAAGGGCTAAAAAGAGAGGTTATAAGAATACTCATACTTTCTTTGTATTATCACACCTGAATTTGCATACTTTCAGTTTTAGTCACTTGTTAAACAGAAAGACATTTAGGAGAAAAATTCTATGCACTGAAAAGATTATAGGTAAAGAATTATTCCAATTTAAGACATAGGTCTCCAAACTCCAGTTGAAGACCTATAAGTATACTCTATTTATTATGTATTTCTTATGAAGTTTAAACTCCTTAATTCAGGAAACATTTTTATTATTCTGTATTTCCAAGTAGCTCAGGTTCTTTTTGTCCTCTGAAATATTCAAAATTATTTCAAAAAATACTATGTTATCTATTTAACAAGCACATGCACAAAATTCTTTGCAAAGAAAGATTTTTTTAACAAATAAATGTAAG